GCGCGGTCACTCTGCCATAGCCATGAAACATTTCTATAACTTTCTTGTTTCTGACTTGTGTCCCATAAGAAATACCCAAGTCCCCCTGCTAAAATCATCCACTATGGTGAGAAAGTAAGGTGTATCAATTATTCTTTCATCCTTGCAAGGCCCCCATATGTCCACATGTATCAATTCAAAACATTGGTTGGTTTGTATGCTACTATTTCCAAAATGTTGTCTGTGTTGCTTTGCTTTCTGACATATCTCACATTTTTGCAACAAGTCTTCACTACTCTTATTGCATTTCCCTTTTAAGAAGTGTAAATGCTTCAGTGCTGAGTAAGAGGCATGGCTCAAAGTTTTATGCCAAGATTCTATACTAACATTGCAAGCCTTTGTTTCTTTATATATGTTTTCCCAAACATATAGGTTTCCCACCATTTTACCATATCCCAGTACTCTCTCATTCAGTTGGTCCTGTAAGTAGCAATGAAATCCAGTGAAAGTCCATGACAAATTGCTATTTGCACATAACTGCATCACTGACATCAAATTGTATTTAAAAGATGACATGTATAGCACATCCTGTAGTATTATTTCTGTTGTAGCACAAATTTTTTTCTTTTACCGAGTACCGAATCGAATGATTCGTATCCCGGGTTGATCTCTCGAGGAAGACGGTTCGGAATTTAGAGTTCGTGTTGATAACACATAAAAGGAAAATAAACCCTAAACATTCTAATCACGATAGGGTTGGAAAATTATCAACAAAGAAATAACACAAAACAATAATCTACCTAAAAACATAAACGACAAAAAGATAAAGAAGCTAGGGAATCGGGGATAATCGCTTCCGGTTCTACACACATTTATCGGCAATCAATAACTCGGTTAAATGGCTCGACTAATTAACTCATTTAGCGGTTTATCCTCAATAACTCTTCGTAACATGCGGATAAACATAAACTAGCAGATTAACGAAACAATTAACACATAGACAATACGTCTCCGAACATGTCTACTCTCAACGAGCCAAGTTCCACCAATTTCTCCCCTCTCGGTTTTGAAATCGATTATCTCTACGACTCCTCCCCTTTCGGTTCTAAAAGTCGCAATTCGATTAGAAGGTGTTTAATCAACTAATCATGTAGAATTAACAAACTCTAACCCAACAAATCAATATTCAATCACAAATCGAAGTGTCACTCTTATATCAACAAATTAACCTAAGTGTCACTCTTAGGTTATAACAATTTATCAAGTATGATTTTATCAATTCATAATTAAAACAACTAGTCAAGATTGAGCTATCGTCATGCACATAAATGAGAACAAACCGGAATGATTATCCCCTAGCCCTAGCTAGAGGATTAGCTACTCATAACTGGTTCAACACAAGCATTCATATCATACCAAGCCATCATCATCACCATAAACATAATGAGAAGGAGAACTTACTAATAATATGCAATCCAATGTCAAATGCAAGTACAAGCCAAATCCAAATTGCAACAAGTCTCCAAAGTGTTCTTGTTCAAACTTGAAGAACCAAAGAAAAACCAAGGAGAAAATCTAAGAAAAAGTGAAGAAGGAGAGAAGAGAATGAGGAGAGATGTGAAGGAGTAAGGTAATTAAGTGGAAGAGAATGGAGGAAAATGAGGAAGGAATAAGGGAAAAATGTTATTGGGTCCAAAAATCCCGTTTTCTAGGTGAAATGTCGGTCAAAAGAGCTCCCCCACCGAGCACAATGTCCCAAAATCGAGGATTTAAAAGTCTGCACATTCAGGCCTCCGCGGCCGCAGACATGCCTGCGGGCCACGGCGAAGAACACCTCTGCGGCCGCGACATGTCCCGCGGCTGCGACATGTCCCACGGCCGTGACTTTTGAGTGCAGAAAAATCCTCGCGAACCGCGGCGAAGAAAATTGGACTGCATTGCGCGACTTTACGTTTTGGGCTCGTTTGAGCTCGTCCGAACTCGGAATTGAGTTTTGTTTTTTGCTATGCGTCGCCAACGAACCACTCTATTCGATGATGCTTGAGTGGCAAAATTATTCTTGAAATCTTATTCTCCAAAAGCTTATGACCAGCACACTAAAATCGTGTTTCGCACGACTTCGCGTTTTGGGCCCGTTAGGACTCGTCCAAGCTCGAAATTGAGCTCCGCTTTTTCCCACATGTCGTTAAGAACCCTTCTACGCAACCATGACTGCCCGGTCAATGTTTGGACTAAATCGATTCCTCACGGAACTTTCGACCTGCACACCAAAAACGAAGAAAAACCGAAAAGACACACGAAAAATACAAAGAAAACCAAAATAAAGGAAAACACGTAAAAAAGTACAAAACGAACTAAAAATCAACGAAAGGACCTAAAATGGAGGAAAAAGAATAATAAAACGACAACAAAAAATGCAACAAAAATGAGACAAACAATTTCTTCATAAATGAGTACCTCTCCCCCACTATCAACAGTCTTGAGTGTTCCATCTGGTAAGCATATGCTGACAGGATTTTTTAATTTCACCAAGTTCTTCATCATTTTGTCATTTATGCCTATGTGCCTACTAGCACCAGTATCAATATACAATGATCATTATGAATTCCCTTAGTAGCAGACAAAGCAAAATGAACACCTTCTTCTTCTTCATTGCATGAAAAGTTTGCAAACTGAGCATAATCCATTCTTTGATTCACCATTCCTTCGCCTTTATGTATTGAGTCGGCTCATTCAACTGTCTGATCACAGAAGCTAGGTTTCTTTCCTTTGCTTCCTCCTTGATGAATGGTTTTGGGTTGTGTGGCTCTTCAGCTTTGTAAGTCTCAGCATTGTTTGCATATGCTTTTCCATTTTTTTCTTTATATTCCTTGTACCAGTCTGCACACCATGAATCTTAAAGCATGTGGAGACTGTATGTCCATTCATCCCACACTTATCACAATGTAGCTTTGCCTTCTCTTCCTTGCTCATCCTAAAACTTCCTCTCCCTTTCATATTATTCCATTGACCTCCCATGTTTGCAAATTTTCCAGCAAAGTTACCTCTGCCTTGTCCTCTACCACCTCCTCTTTCCTTAACCATCATAGCTCCAGTCTCTCCATAGAAATTTTGCACATTCCTTGGTCTCTCAGCATTTAAAACCATGGAATATGCTTTGTTCACAATAGGTAAAGGTTCTATCATCATTATCTGGCTTTTGAGGTTATCATAACCATCATTAAGTCCCATAAGGAATTGTATGAGCTTTGTCTCATGTTCATTTTGAGCTACTAACTTCCCTTTCTCACAATTGCAACTCTGTACAGGTACTACACAGGCTAGCTCATCCCAAAGTCTCTTAAGCTTCCGAAAATATTCCACAATAGTTTTATTTCCCTGAGTTAAACTGGTTATTTCTCTCTGTAGCTTGTACTTCAATGGGACATTGTTTTCTCCATACCTCTGCCCTATCTCTTCGCACAATTCCTTCGAAGTTTCAACACATATAAAGATTTCAACAATATCTTTGGATAGTGAATTCAAAATCCATGATAACACCATCCAATCGACCTTTCTCCAATCAGCATAAAGCTCATTATCAAAATCAGGTTTTGGTATTTCACCAGTTACAAATCCAAGCTTATTCTTAGCTCCTAATGCGATAATCATAGACTTCCTCCATGGCAAAAAATTGTTTCCAGTCAATTGATGTGATACAAGCATCATACCAAGATTATCTGAGCCGTGCAATACAAGCGGATCTGATGAGCTTGTCTTCGAGCTCGAATCTGTGTTCGTCGTCAACAGCGGCCATGGATTTCCTTGTCTTTGCTCCATTTGTGATTATGAGCTACCAGCAGCTTGATCACTTCAGTAATCTTATCTTCAGCTCCAAATGATCGATTTTGTGCAGCGGATTTCCAGAGATTACTGCTCTGGTACCATGAAAAACGAGAGTAATTTTTGTGGTGAAAAACACCATTTTCGATTAATCAGAATTCAAAGAACAATCATTGTCTCAGTCACATATATATACATACACGTATACATGCATATCAGATAAAGGACCTAATACGATGTCATGTGAGTTAAGATATAAAACGACGTCGTTTATATTTAATAAGTCCAAGCCTACTTATAAAAGCGTAAACACGACTCTGAGCTAAAAGAAAATAAAAGGAACAGAAAATGAAAACATCTTCATTTAACTCCATCTGCATCATCATGCAATTGCGTCGATCGAGATTCAACATTCCAACAATACTTATGCTAAAAAATTCGAACCCGTTACCAAATTTTCGACAAGAGATTGTATATATAATTGTGAAATTTGTTACAAAAAATGCCCAAAGAAATTCAATCATATTGTAAAGGTTATTACAAAAAAAGATGATGCTAACAAATTCGAACCCCTTACAAAATTTCGACCANAACCCAAAGAATCTGTTATGAAGGTTGTTACAAAAACAAATGCTAAAAAATTCGAACCCGTTACCAAATTTTCGGCTAAAAGATTTACCAAAATTGCAAGAGATTTTGTGTTAATAATTATGAAATTTGTTAAAAAAAAATCTCAAAGAATGCGATCATATTGTGAAGGTGGTTACAAAAAAAAAATGCTAAAAAATTTGAACCCCTTACCAAATTTTCGGCTAAAAGATTTACCAAAATTCTTAAAAATCAATATGGCATGTGGGTTGTAGAATATTTACTTATATTAGTAAGTCAACACTTTATTTAAGTATTTTTCCAACAACCTCTTTATATTACTTTAGATATAAAAAGTTAAAAAAATTGTTTTATATCTCATCCTGCACACCACACCTAAAAAAAGTTGTGTTTTTAATCTGATCAACATGTCCCAGGCGGTCATCATTGTTTCATGAATTGCTATATCCAGATTCCAGCATTTAACTGTATTGAATCTTATTAGATGCGATAATCATCAACATGGATAATTACTATTAATATCATGAATTACATGATTCAGATTTCAAAAGACACACTACTACTTGAGATAAACAAATGACCAAAGATACTTTAGACAAATGCTCACATAAGAATGTGTAGTAGCATTAGAAATTTAGAATAATCATGCTCAATTTAGAAATTGTCATATTAATCATAAACCAAGACAAAGTCAAATCCTAGCAACAGGATCATCAAGAATTAACAAAATCACATTAAAATAATCACAAATCACAAAAACCAAAAGATGCTGGTTGGTTGCATACACAGCCAACCACATGATGCAAGAAGAAAACCCCACCACAGCAAAGAGAAAAAAACCCATACACAGTCATGAAAAGATGACATTCATTTCAGAATCAAAGTGGTTTATATTCTTTTTTCGATTCATTTGCCTTCGGATTCATCAGGAAACCAGATATGCTTCCCTTTGGGAGTTGGCAAGCCTTTCAACCTGAGGACACCAGAAAATTCATCACAACCAAACACTTGCTCCTCCCTTTTGATCTCATCACCATCATCATACACGAACCGAATATGCTTCCCACTGAATCTGAGCCCACCATCATACTCATCCATCCTAACCTTGCTCAACTCCTCACACAGCTCATCAAGCTCATCATCATTTTTCTCACCATAACCATCATCTTCTTCTTCTTCACATTCAACACACTCATAGCACTCATCTTCAAATTCATCCTTGTCTCTGTTGCTGCTTGCATTCGCCTCAATAGACCAAACTGAAGCTGCATCATAGTCCCCCTCTGTTGATTCTGGCGACTTTTCGGAAAAATCCAACAGCAGCGACCTTGTGATCACAACATCCTCAGCCTCAATCACCCTCTCCTCTTCTTTCTTCTCCTCACTCATCACCGCCATCTAAATTCATTACAGATCCCCCAAAAAAACAAAAACGAATAAGGAAAGAGAATCAGATCAACTAGACTTGCGTTTATAACATAATGCTAACAATCAACCAACTCATATATCATCATATAATTCTAACAATGCAAACTACTATAAATTTGGTTGTTTTCTTTATCAGGAAAGACGGTTTGATTCCGAGGGAAAATTGAAAAAAATCAGCAAACACAGTGCTATCTAACATCAAATATCCCAAATTCCATTCTTTCTTTGTAAGGAAAAGCAAGAAAGACTGGTTTTTTCTTTCAGGCGAAAAAACAAACAGATTGTAGAGCAGCAATAATATCTTTGGCAGATGCTATTCCGAATAATTTCAAGTCTTCTTTATCAAGAAAGGCACATATTCAGCAAAACGGACAAAAAACAAGCAAACCTGTGGGACAACAACAATCTCGTCGAGGTTGGGTAGTTGGGGGGTATTTGCAGGCGTGGGGGCAGCCAGATTGATAGGAGAGCTGAAGAGATGCCTGCTGTGGAAAAGCTCGGCCTCCTCTTCCACCTTCTGCAAGAGGGTCTTCACCTGGCCTCTCAGCAGGGCCTCGCCAGAGCCAGGGGTGCGGGCCGTCTTCTTCTTGGATATGGCCGATGAAGGGGTCCGGAGGCTTCCCATCGCTAGCCCAACAATAGGCGAATCATTGGTTATGTCAATTAGGGCATATCGGTCCTGCTGCTGCTTCAATTTCGCTCCTGCCTTCTCCGGCTCTTCTGTTTTCCCTGTTAATTGGAGAAAAAAAGAGAAAAACACGATTGTTATCCATAAAATCTTATATAGGAAGAATTAGTTATGTTTCTGAGGATAGGGTTCGGGAATACTTGAGAGGAGTAGATTGGTGGTGCCACTGGTGGCGGCGGCGGCGGCGGCCATAGTCTGTGATCTTGTCACTCTTCTTGTCGTTGACGATGGGGTTTCCATTGAGAGAGAGAGAGATTATTAGGTATTATGTTATTTATGATCGACGGTGATAGTTAAGAGAGACAGAGAGAGAGAGAGAGAGTACAAAAAGATGGGAAGACTGAAAGGTTTTATAGAAAAATCGAAAGGAAAACAATGGCCAAGGAATATGACCGTTGAGGGAGCGTGCGTGTTGAAACTAGCCGTTGAGGTTATAATGGGCCTGGACTGGGACGTACTTGGACTTTTCATGGAATACTGTACAGGTGATTTCATAGATTTGTTGGACTCACTTCAGTCCATATCAAAATAGAATATTGACGAATTTTCATGTATACTATTGTGATTTGGAAAAAAAAATATTAGAATTTTATTATGGAGCAAATTTTATTTGCATCTTTACTAATTTCATGCTAATTAATTGTAAAGACGCACCAGATTATGAAATTTTCAGTTACCAAATAAAGTGTAATCGATTCCTCCTTAAATTGCGTAGATTATGAGATTTTCAGCTCTCAGGTGTTTTGAATGGACAGTATATATTGCGTTTATAATCAATATAAAACCTGATGTGTTTTTATTTACATTGCATTTTTATCTAACCATAATTGTAATGTTCGAGTTTTGGTTCAGTATTTGGTGCAATTTTTATTTACATAACATTTTAATCTAACCAAAATTGTGATTTTGTTCAGTATATAACCTATCATATACATATCATAAACTGATCATAATCATTATTTAGATAAACTATTTTAGTATTTATAGAGTATATGATAAAAATATAAATGTCAGTAGCTTGAAAAAAATGACAATCAATTGAATAAAATGGGTCCATGAATGGATAAAACATAAAAATAGTAATCGTAATAGAAAACTATACATCTTAACATAACCAGAATAAAATTGTGGATTATATACATATCATAAACTACTCGTAACTTTATCAACAAAATAAAATAAAATAAAATAAAATAAACTACTCATAACAGCAGAGGTGTGTGAGAAACAAACAGTACAACACACTATCGATGAAAACCAGATGCATCAGGTAAAGGACAACGATAAAACACCTCTACTGCAAACTAAAAACCAACACGGATTACAACAGGGCAATCCCAAATAAAAGTCAAAATCTTCTGACAAAATCAAAGAATCAAATGCCTATCAATTGAATAAACGCCTCCGGGAACATAACTAAAAATATACTGTATATAAATGCAACATATACTGTCGATCGCAACGAGCCCGAGCTTCGGCCTCGCCTTCGTCATCTCCAAGAAATTGTGAGGCTGATCAGAAATGGAGGGATAATTCGACCATGTCATCAAACGTCAGGTTTCTCTAGTTGAATCCCCCTGTCGTCGTTAAGAATCTTGTTCAACAATGCTCCCCTCCTTCGAAAAACCGCTTCTCCACACCACCACCAGCGACGGAGCCGCCGCCGCCCTCATTGTCTCAACATCTGCTCATCCAATCACCTCTGCCGACGAACTGCTATCTCTGGCTGTTTGAGGGCCAGCGCGCCTCTTCGGTTTCGTGGTAGACAATCGGGGCTTAGGGTCTCCTTACACACGGCGGGTCTGCCAATCCATGATCCGCCGATCCCGTGCTCATCCAAGAAGAAGAAGAAGAAGAAGAAGAAGAAGAAGAAGAAGATGATGATGATGATGATGATGATGATGATGATGATGATGATGATGATGATGATGATGATGATGATGACGATGATGATGATGACGACGATGACGATGACGATGACGATGATGATGATGATGATGATGATGATGAGTTTTTGGAAGGTGATAAGTTTTCCATAAATTAAGCTAATTATTGATTAAATATGTTAATTATTGCTATAAGAGATTTTTGGTAATTATGCAAATAAAAACAATAGATCTTACTATATTTCCAATATTTACAAATTGATTCCATTTATGTAATAAAAAAGAGAAATTCATGTATAGGATGTAATTTTCTCTACAATATTCACTTATGACTTTTCAAATAATCGTTTTAAGGGCATTTTCCCACTAAATCCCTAAGCTCATTTATAAATTCTGTTTCAGTCCTTAGGTCTTTTTTCTTTCTACTGTTGTAATGCCCCGTTGTTTTTATAAGGAAATACTGAATTTTTCTAAAAATCAGAGTTAAATTTTCGCAAATCATGTTAAAAATTTTTAACGGGCATTACTCAATTCAAACTCAATTTGTAGCTTAAGTACCAACTCAAGCCTCTGGGAATAAACCATCTAGATCAACACTTACCATTATATTACAACCAGACAAGTATAGCATGCTCATTAATAAATTCAAAACGATATCAATATCATCAATTCCAAATCAGAATTCAAAACATGCATTTCAATTCAGTTTCATAATCCAACATCAATATAAGTCTGGTGAAAAGATAACAAATAGCGGGAACAAAAACAGTTCATAAATATCAGGCAATTATGACCACACTCGCCCGTCTTTCGCCGTTGCCACTACATCAACCTGAAAGGGGGAAAATAATGGGGGTGAGCAAATCACTAGCTCACCGTGAGAATCACCATGCAATCTATTCGATACAACGACTGAAAGCATAATCACAACATGAACATAAATCATCTTGTCTACCTCCTATACTGCTCTACGCTCATTTGTACACATCTAACCGTCGGGACAAGCCCATTCACGGGAGCTAAACCGTCAGCAACAACATCAACGGGGGAAACATCTCATTAGGCACAAATAGGAGAACGATATCGGCAACAACATCAACGGAGAACACTCTCGTAGACTAATGGTTCACACGCATACATTGATTATATATTCAAGCAATTATAGGGACTAACCACATAGTGAAGTTTATCAACACCCACTTGATAAGTCGAGATAGGCAACGACACAATGATCAACGGAAGGTAGGTAGAGAGCTCGACTCCTCAAACACCTACATTTAATCAAAATAATATCTCAGAATAATTATCTCGATAAATTGAGAATTTCAACGGAAATTTATACTTAGTCGAGTATTATCAATTGAGTAGCTCGTGAAATTTTGTGGAATTTAGAATTCTCAGTTTTTAAAGAAAAACTTGGAAAAATAATTTAATAAGGTCAAAAAAGGGTTCGACACGAAAAACGAGGTCAATGGTTCAAAAATCATGCAAACGGCTCGAGAAATTAAATTTGGATTCTTTAGACCCGGGTGGGCGCAGGCTAGCTCGTGCGGGGCGTCGGGTGGCTGTTGGTGGCTCGCCGGGGCTACTAGATGCGTGTCGGGTGCTGCTGGGTGGTGCCGTGCTCGTGCGGGTGCGGGCGGCTGTCACTCTCCTACCGCAGCCTAGACAAGCTACTTGCTCAAGCCGGGCTAATGAGCTATTTTGCGTGCTACATCAGTGGACACATACTCTAAATCTTCACGGGTTAAGTATCCTACTTCTCTGTGGGCAGAAATTTTGAATCCTCACGGAGTTGATGCATTCGTCTTCTCCGTGGGAACGATCTCTGGATCCTCATGAGGTCACTATACCCATATTCCCTGTGGGAACAAAATTTAAATCCTCATGGAGTTTGTAAAAAATCTGAAAGTGAAAATTTGAGTTTATGTAAAAAATCCGACCGAATTCGAAGGATTCTGACTTATTAATTATCTTAAAAAGTATTGAAATATTAACTATTATTATTATTGTTATTATTATTATTAATAATTATCTTAAAAAGTATTGAAATAAGAACTATTATTATTATTATTATCATTATTATTATTATTATTATTATTATTATTATATACTTATTGAACTTCCATGAATCATCTAGTGTGAATTATAATTGATTAGTTTTAGAAACTATTATATAATATAATAGTTAAAAAATTATGATTACACTTTAATTAACCATTATGTTAACAAAGTCATTGATTAGATTTCAACCAGAGGTTTTATATAAAAAAAAAAATATTGAATTGTAATAACAAAGGCGGAAAACCCATAGTCTTACTAAATTTCTCGTTAGCATATATATATCAAGGTTGTTAAAACCGGACCGATCAAGCTACTGGTTCAATGGTTCACTAGTCCAACCAGTGGTTGAATCGATTGGACCGTTATTTAATTAATTGATATTTTTAAATATACATAATATTTCATAGATATAGTTAACTTAATTTTTAAGTTATTTAATTTATTGATATTTTAAATATATAGTACTTTATAAATATTAAATATAGTTGACTTATATTTTAAAAGGTTGGTCCCACCATATATAGATTAAGCAATAAAATTATAGTACAAAAATATATAAAAAAAAAATATTTCCTCACAGTCCCACATTGGGCAATAAAATAATAGGAAATAAATATGAGATATGGGAAAAAAAATTCCTTCCACGCATGGCTTTACCTTTACAATTGAAAATTTGGAATTCTTACATCTTGTCTCACATAGGTAACCACAATATATATATATATATTTGATCGGTTGAACCGACCGGTTTTTAGCCGATTTTGTCAGGTTTTGACCGGTTCGACCGGTCATTGACCGATTTGACTGACAGACGGTTTCTTCCATAGAACCGGAGCGGTGAACTGGCCGGTTCCCGATTCAACCGGTCGGACTGGCCGGTCCGGTCTGGTTTTGACAACCTTGATATATATAGGGTCACGCTACAGTGAGAATGGTTCTTAGTGAAAGAAATAGAAATAAATCTGATAATCCAATGGTCATAATAAACTCAATTTTTCACACTCATTAAGGGTATAATAGACAATTTATCATTGACATGTGCCAAGTGGGCCCCATATCTCATTCACATTGTCTTCCATGCACAAACACTGCTCTCACACACAGTATACACAGTAGCACGCACCCCATGCAGTACACACACTTTCAACTCGCGCACACACCCTTGCCGGTCCCCCGCCACCGCTTTAAGCCTACCATCGCCTTCCTCAACATTGACACGCGCAAACACAGTTCATACACACACATACTTCACGACACACACATTAGAACACACGCACAGCCGGTTCTCGCCATCAGCCATCGGAACCGCCGCTGCACTGCCGTCGGACCACCGTAGCTGCACCTCTGTACGCCGCCTCCAACACTCCGATTACTGCTCCAATCAATGCCACCCTTCGCTTTCTACATCCGGTCGGACCCGCGTCAAAAATAGAAATTCCGGCTGCAATCCAAATCACTTGCGCACACCCGATATCGAGCCTTTGGAGGCCGAAATTCGGCTAGCCGCCCACGAAGAAACTCACCGACCCCGATGAGCTCGGATAATTCCAGCAAGCACAGCAAGGTACCAGCCAAAATCGATGAATACAAAATCAAAACTTAATTTGATGAACACAAAATCGAAAGTAAACTCGCGAGAATGTGGCAACCGGTGGGGTCTTCGTGTTGCTAAGAAGAGTCCGGCGGCTCGTCGGTGGCTAGCGAAGATTTTGAGAAGGAGACGGAGCATCCATCGAGCAGATCTGTGGGATTTGCATTTAGTATTTAATAAATCCCAAGGGCTTATTTGCAATATCATTAATTTTATCTAAATTACAATTTTTATGGTCAAATTTATAATTTAACTAAAATTCAAGAGTTTTGATATAGTTCAATTTAGCACATTGCCAAAATTTGTAATTTATATTAAATACTCCCTCTATTCATAATAAGTGTCATTTTGAGAAGTTGCACAATAATTAAGAGTATTTTTTTTGCAAATAATAACCTTCATTAATGAAGATAGAGATGAATGTTTGAGAAAGATAAAGAGTGATATGAAAAGACGTAGTGTATTTATTAGCTAAATGAGAGTAATAATGGAAAAACATGTACAAAAAATCCAAAACGACATTTATTTTGTTAATGGTTGATAAAGCCAAAATGACATTTAAAAAAAAAATAGGAGGTAGTATATAAAAAATATTATTTTTTATATATTTTTTTTATACTTTTATACATATGTACCTATCATATTGTTTCAACCAAAAATAATATAGAATATTAAATAGAAATATTAAAATACTAAATATATTTTTATACAAATAGTTTCGCTTCGAGTGCACATTAATGTTATACGAATTGCACATTAGTGACTATCAGATTGCACTATAGCAGTCGAAACGAACACACGAAGTTTTGAGTTTGAATTTTATATTTTGGTTCGATTATTTGTGTTTACCTTAATATATTTTTGTAATATAAATTATAAACTATTTAGATTATTAAGGTTAACTTAGGTAACCGATCAAATAAACCGATTATTTCGTTTTTAGTTTGGTTTGGAAAAAATCATTAAAAAAATAACTTCATTTTGAGTGCACATTAGTATTAGATCAATTGCACATTAGTGACTACCGAACTGATCTGAACTTATAGTGGATGTTGACCACCGACTTGGTAATACACATGCTATTCAAGAGACACCCAGGATTACGGCCAAATCGGCCATGATGACGGTAATTCTGAGTCATTTACAAGCATAAAGACATTTCATCTGTGAGACAGGAGTCGTTTGTAAAACGGAACCACATCTCTTCATAACTGACACAACAAACGGTCAAAACCGACGTGACGAGGGACTTTGGTTGTCACCGAATCCCCGGGACCCCTTCACCGACGTGGCGATTGACCTCGGGTGAAACCGAAGCAGGTGACAAGACGCCTACGTGACATCCTTGCGTTTCGTGCACTACGTCATGATGATTTGCGGGCCCAACTGACTTAACCGCCTCTGTAAAGATGCTTTATACCTGACGTGAATAATGAGCAAGCCTCAAGATGTGTGTATAAAAAGTTACTATAAATAGGCAGGAATTTCCCCGGAGGAGGAGAGAGAACACTCTGTAAACACTCTGTTACAATTTCTATCGACTACGTATAAACCGAGTCGAGTTAAATCAATAAAAATCCTGAATTATCACAATCTTATGTCTTGAATTATGTAACTCTATGTTTATTGCGTTGTTACAAATCCATATGACAACAGTTTGGCGCTAGAGGAAGGGCCTCATAATTGTTTGAGATTAATCTTCGATATCCAGACGAAAGCAACCACTGTTCCAACATTATTTCAGCTCCAGAAGATATGTCTCAGTTAGGACAAGATCGTCAAACAACTAGGGGAAGCGCAATCAACCCCAATCAACCCACGGGTCGGGTCAATACAACGCCTGTGATACCAGACCTGGCAACACTCCTTCAGAATCCAGAAGTTGCAAAAGGAATCACTGCCATGTTAGCACAACTTATCCCCGGCACGCCAAAGGCACCACCAAGACCGTTCGTAACTCCGGTAATACCCTTCAGACAAGGTGTCCATCCGCCGCCGGGAAATAACGATAATCATGTTGCGTCACACGCCATGTCTCAACCTCGAGATAATAATCCTCAAGGTCGCCAGGGGGAGTTGCCGCATCGCCGGGAGGAGAAAATTTACAAGAGGCGACGACAGAAAGTCACCCTGGACGCGCCGGAAGGGTTGCCGCCCCTGCTCAATCGCTACCTCGACAACAAGAGAATCCGCTTAACCTACAACATCAAATTGAGATAAATAGATCTGCCAGACGCGGTACCTCAGAAACAGAAATGTTGAGGAGAAGGGTCATTGAACTCGAACTTGAAGCATGGCGAGCGACTCAAGTCCGACCCCCACCGAATTTTCATCCCTCGAAATCGGGTCACGTGTATTTGGAAATCGATTCGCCCTTAGCCCCCGAGCTGACTACGGGTCCTGTACCTGCTAAAGTCAAAGTTTCGCAAATCGGATTGTATGACGGGACCTCGGATCCTGATGCGCATCTCGGACATTACACTTCATAGATGGATCTTCATGGTGCTACCGACGCTTTACGTTGTCGAATGTTTTCTCTTATCCTGGGGCCCCGAGCACAGAAATGGTATCATTCATTGCCTCCTCACTCAATCTGAAAATGGCATCTGTTAAGGTCAGCGTTCCGTTCGTACTTTATCGGGGCCCAGGTTTGATTAATCCCTAAGGAGTCCATTGTGAATATTACTCAAAGGGATGATGAAAGTGTCAAAGAATACGTTGCTCGGTTTAACGATCGAGTTCAGGATATGGAACATTGTCACCCAGAGACACTGTTGGTCTTAGCCATCGCGAGGTTAAAGCCGAATTCCTTATTTCGGTGGACTCTCTGTCAGAATAAACCGAATACTTTTCAAGAATTTCTTGTTCGAGCCCAACAGCACATTATCGCCGAAGAGTCGATGTCGGTCCTCAACTTCAACTTTTCTTCAAAGGAACCGAAAACCGAATCTGGGGGCCCGAAGAAGAGTAAGAAATCCTTTGGTGGAAAACTAAGGACACCCCAATTCGAGGGGCCCCCAAAAGAAGAATTTAACACCCTCAAGCTAAAGCCGCCAAGAAGCAATATAGGGATGACTTAAAGTCAGGGTATCAAACTGTTTACACGGTCGAGGCCGCGACCATTTATGAAGAACTGAAAGGGAAAGGAATCTTACCCGAGCCTATGTCAGTCCGGGCATCCGAGGATCGACTAGATAAGTCACAGTATTGTGACTATCATAAGTCCCCCGGACATAATACCGACGAGTGTCTTAGTCTCTTAGCAGTCTTGTTGCGATTAATCGGTCACCCTCGACTTCGAATTCTCGAAGAACCTAGATATTCAAAGAAAGGGACGAAATTTTGAAGTTCTAGACGACGAAGACGACGACCGAGCTCCGAATCCAAAGAGGATCCGACAAGGCGACAAAGAGGTTTTTGCCCTCACTTTGGGGACATCCGACCACTCACCGAATCAAGACCATAAAGGAACGGAACGAGGCCGATCTCCAAACCTCAATCGTGACACTATTCTGCATGTAAACACGAGTCATGGAAGAAGACTTTCCCCACGACGTCAAGCCAAAGCTTATGCTCGCCAAACCTACAATTAAGGGAAGCAGGTTCTCACCACCGACCTCCGTGATACAATTAATTCGTGAAATTGTCCAATCACATTTAGCATAGAGGATGCTAGTCTTTTTGCACACCCACATTCCGACGCCTTGATTATCACGGCTCCCGTATGTGGCATACCAGTACATCGAATTATAGTAGATACAGGGGCCTATTCGAGTATTTTAATGCTCAAGGCGTTCGAAAAGATGGGTATTGACTCGTCCGAAATCATGTCGTGCAACGATAAAATTCAAGGGTTCAATGGAAGTATGTAACGCCCCACTTTATTTTAAAAGGTTTACCGTTTTTATTTAATAAAAATCACAATAAATTTTTCGCAAATCTCAATTTAATTAAAAACTTAGTGGGCGCTACTTATTTAACCAAAAACTTTTATCCGAAAATGCCAAAATATCAGATACAGACAGCATGCACGAATAATAAGTCATAACCAAACTAACATTCATTAAGTTCCAAATCATAAAGATAATTCATAACTCCAAGTTCAAAACGACATAATCAAAATATCTCAACATGAGTTCCTTAAATGAGCGGAAGCAAATAAATAAGCAATAAATAAAAGCATGACCACCACAAGTCTTGTCTCGTCACCCGCCGACTGCTTAACCTGCATCAGTTACGAGCAGGTGGGAGTGAGTACAGTTAACTATCGTACTCACGCTATGCATATGAATAACATAATAATGGTATGGTCACAGCATGAACATAAACAATAAAATCATGTCACATCTCTAGCCACATCAATGACTATAGTCTCATCAAAGACTCACTCATGTACATCTATGCTCATCAAAGCTAAGCCATGCCATATCAGTGAAACATGGGAGTGCGTGCCACATCAATGACACGGCCTTCTCATAGGTCTTATGAGATTTACCTCACAGGGTAACCGTATCTTATCAGACGGGGACAACCGTATCGACGGCCATCAAGCTCACATCGATAGGCTACATGTTCATTTTCATACATAGATCACACCAAACTTTCATCACAATTTAAAATCACACATATGCATAGATAATTTTTAGAATAACCCACCTGGATTTCGGACTGATAATAACTCAAAGCAATGGAAGTAGGTCGAGGCTGGACTCCTCAATTACCTACATTGAGTCAAGATGCTACAATCAACATCTATCTTGACTTTAAACAGAAAACACAAAACAGACCTAGTCGAACTTGTTTCGACTAAGTAGTTCGTGAAGTCCTGTGGATGTTGGAACACTAAGACTCGGCACTAAACTCGACCAAACCACATAAGGGAGTTCACATAAATCCATCTAAGGATTGACCAAGTCAAACTCACATAAAAACGAAAAGCAAGTCGATTCCCAACTTTTCATTTCAAAATCGTGTTTCGAAAATAGTAATCATTAATCACATGAAAATAGATGGTCAGGCTACCCTACGACTTAAGCTCTGAAATTTTACACAAAATTACATCTCCCAGAAACATGTAAAACCACCAATTTTCAGCTTCAAACTCGAAATACACTATTTTATAAAATTCGAACAAGATA